GGTGGGGAGCCTGGGGGGTCTGGCTGCGGGGCTGGGGGGAGGCGCCCCCTGATTCCGGCAGGCAGCTCTTCCTCTCCTCCCGCTCCGTGAAGGAAGGCAGGAGAAAGGCTTTTATAAATAGCTCCAGCCCCAGCTGATTTGTAAATTCAGTGGGTTTGGTTTTTTTTTTTTTATGTCAATGACATCACTCTCCTCCCCATGGCAACACTCGACGATATCAAAATTGCCAAGCAACGTTGGAGCAGGTCGCTGCCAGCCGGTGGGGGAGGGGCCGCTCCCCGCCCGCCGTGCCGGGAGCGGGAGCAGCCATCCAGGTGACTAAGCTGGCCCACTGGCACTGAGTCACCTGCTGGCCCGGGGGTTTCTTTCTTCTCTTTTGCATCTGATTATTTTGGGAGCTGGAAACTTGGAGCTGCATCTGAGTCCCGCCCCTTCCAGCCGCCCCTCCCTGCCTTGGGCTCCGAGGAAGATGGGACCTGCTGAGACTCTGCCACCCCTTCCTGAGGTGATAGAAGGCGCTGTGGGGGCCGGAAGTGCCATGGGAGAGACACCAGCCACCGAAGTGCAATAGCCGAAATGGTGATCCGGCTGCCTTGTCCTCCAGAGGTGCCGGGAGAGGAGGGGAGTCTGGTCCATGCCGACTGGATTCCTCCCGGGCTGGCTTTGAACTCACCTCCCACGAGATTTTTCTGTAAATGAGTGGCTTCTAGGGTCAGAGTGGCATTTGGAGAGCGAGGCTGGATTGGCTTAGGCCGACCTGGGCAGGTAGGTGGCTCTGTGCTGGGTGTGGCCCCACGTGTGAGAGAGTGTGTGTTGTCCCCGTGCTGAGGACAGCAGGGGGTCCACAGAGAGCCGAGGATGCGGGATTTGGCAGCAGCTCCTCCTAACTGATGCTGGGCCAGCCCAGGTCCTGAGACGGGTGTTGTGGAAAGGGACACAAGCACCTGGCCTGAGCAGGGTGAGAGCAGCGCCCGCTCAGACAAGCCCAGGCCCTCTGAGTCCACAGCCCAGACACGCGGCAGAATGCCCAGGCAGGGAGCGGTCCGAGGGACAGGCCAAGGATGGAAGCCAACCTGCCAGCCAGCCGGACAGCACATCGCTGCTCCCTCTTCCGACAGCCCTGGGCTCTAAGGAGACAGCTTTCTACCCAGGAATGCTGTCACTCGCCCATGCAGTGCCAGTCAGCATCTATGTGTGTTCTCTGCCAGCTCACAGGGGCGCGTTTCCTGAGAAGAGCGCCAGCCAGGGCACAGCTTCCCCATACTCAGGGCCCAGCCAGGGGCCACTGCTCAGCCTGGCCCCCGCGAGGCATGCTCCGATGCGTGTCAGGCCGAGGGGCGTGGGCCCCCCGCCTCCCCCACACAGCTGGCAGCCTCACGGGCACACCGGTGAGTAAGCTGCAGAGGGAGGAGGCTGTGTGCCCACAGAGGCAGGACGACACCAACCAGGAGCCTTTGGGAGAAGCGGCTGGGTGAGAAAAGCACTGAGGTTTTCTTTTTCTTTCTTTTTTTTTTCCCCCCTTTTTGCCTGAAGGGAGTGGCGCTTCCTGGGCTAGACAAGCACCAGCCTGCAGTGGGGAGCTCGAGGCCCAGCTGCCCGGAGGAGCGGCACGGTAAGGTCCCGGCTACCTACATAGGCTCGGGCTTCCCAGGCAGGGGTGGGGATGTGGAGGTGTCCAGGCGAGGTGCCCTCTGGGACAGGGGCAGCAGCTGTGGGCTTCTGTGGGCCCCATCCTACCTGCCACTCCCTTTCCAGATGGATTTTGAAACATCCCAGTCCAAGCTGGCCTCTGGCTTCCCGGCTAGAGAGCGAAATGCTTATTTCTGCTGTTCCCGCCTGTGCCTCCCCTCCTGCTGGGCCGAGCCAGTGCCACCAGGACACCCCTCCAGGATGTCCTCTTACCCTACCACCTCGAGGATGCTCCCCTCTTGTATTCATCCCACAGATATTTATGGAGCATCTTTGGGGCCCAAGCTCCAAGTCATGCCCTTATGCAGAGCCTACCGGGCACAGATTCTGACCCTGACACTCAGTGGCTGGCCGGGTTCAGGGGGCCTGGCTGGGCAGTGAGGCCTTGGGCTCTTCACTTCCGCTGCAGGCGTTAGCGTCCTGGTTTGCTCTAGGGTGTCAGGCCAAGTGAGCTTGGGGTGTTCAAGTGCCGGGGCCCAACCAAGAAGCAAGGCTAATATAGCGTGGTTTGTTCTTCCCTGGTGTCATGGTGGGGGGGCTGCTTGGGTTCTTTTCTACGCCGGGAACTGGGCTCTAAGAGTTGAAGATAAGCTCTGGGCTGCCGGGCCCTTGGGTCCCTGGAAGCTCATCGAGCTGGGAATCAGGCCTTTGGGCCAAGCAAGGGGTCCCCCTGCAGATCAGGAGGGCAAGCAGGAACCCCAGTGCCTAGTCAGGAGTGGGTGAGCAGCAGGAGCAAGGCTGCTGTTCTGGAAGCACCTGATTTGGGTGGGAAGCTGTGTGCCCCTGTGGGTACCCACAAGGGGGAGGGTGGGGGCTGCATGGGTCCCCAGGACAGACTGACTCTGTGCGCTGAGTTCCTGGGATGTGCCAGGCACAGGGAAGGTGCTGCGGGAGGGGCACATGAGCCCAGCATCAGGATGAAACCTGACATGTCCCCACCTGGCTCCAGGATGAGCAAGTCCTCTCTCCCCCCTGCAAAAGGTGACTCCAAGCCTGGGAGGTGGGGGGTGGGGTATCTCTCGTGTGTGCAGAGCTGAGCAGCGGCTGGTGCCCAGCAGCTGGTGCCCAGCTGGGTTCAGAGTGGCAGAGGCTGTGGAGTGCCCGACAAACAGCAGGCTAGCAGGGTGATGGAGCCAGGAGGGAGCAGAAGGTAGAGGCCAGGTATGGGGGCAGGAGAGGGAAAGCCTGCCTGGAGTTTAAGATGGCGGAGGGAGGCTCTGGACACTGATTGTCTCATGCTTGCCCACCTCTGTGGGACCGCCGGCAGGGAGTGGGCGGAGACGCTGAGAGACTGCATTCCTTACCCAAGGGGCCCAGAGACACCTCTAGCACACACTGTCCTGGGTGCAGAGGCCCGAAGGCCTCGTGGAAAGCTGCCCTGCGGCCTGAAGCAGGGCCCTTCTCACAGGATGCCCTCTCCACCAGGAGTGGGAAGGCCCAGGCTTCAGGAGCCGTTTCTAAGACTTGGGCAGTAGGAAGGGTGCTGACAACCCTCACCCACAGGCATTCCGCAGCTGCCCCTGTGAGGGCTTTGAGAGTTCATGTCTGTGACCCGGCCTTGGTGGAAAGCAGTGGGCCACAGGCTGGAAGAGCATGGAAAGGTGAAAGCTTCAGAGGCAGGAAGAGCTCTCAGCCTCTGGCCCCCGCTGGGCCTCCTGCCTGGGAGAGCAGGCTGACTGGAAGCCCCTCTCCCGAGCTTAGCCCTGGGGCCCATTAAGGGCTAAGGAGAGATATGAAGGGGGTGACTTGAAGGGGAATATGTCTTTTCTTGGCAAGATGAATGCTCCAGGCAGCCCTTGGAGATGGCAGTTGGCACCTTGTTCTGGCTCACTTGCTTGTAGGCAGAGAACAGGGATTGCCTCCTAAGTACAAAACGCTGGTGGCAGGAGCAGGGGTGGGAGGAAGTGCCACGAAATGACCAGGACAGAGCCCTTGCCCTGGGGAGTGTAAGGTGCTTCAGCAGAGGAGGGAAAGGAAAGTTGAGCAGGGGGCCAACCCCACCCGAAACCAGCGGAGAGCCATGATCAGCAATGGGCGGGGGTGGGGGTTGCCCTTCTGTTCACTCTGGGTCCCCGATTCATCATGGTAATTGTTAGCCATTGAGTCCAGATAATTTATAAATTTAGACCAGTACCAGGAGATGGTTCTTAACATAGAACTTTATAAAGATGAATAAAAAAAGATTAGCCAAGAGTGAAAACACAAAGGAAGAACCAGCTTCTACTGTTATGGGCAGAAGACAGATTCTCAGAGTGATATACAGGAAAAGGCAGAATAGTGGATGGTTAACAGCAGGTGAGTGTCAGGCCTGGGGCTGCCTCTTCCTGCCTGGGTGACCTCAGATAAGTTACCTCATCTCACTAGGTCTCAATTTCCTTTCCTGTCCAAGGGAGATAATTATAGTGCCTATGAGTTAGGGCGGTTGAGTAGATTAAGTAAGGCTATATGCAAATACCCTTAGCAGCATGGCTGGCACATAAGTGCTCAGCAAAGATAATGTTATCATTGTGATGACTATTAGTGTTAGAGAAACAAAGTGCCAGGAGGGAGAGACCACACTGGGGTTTTCAGGGGAATCAGAAAAGGCTTCATGGAGGAGGTGGTTTTGGAAGAACCCTTCCCTGAAGAAAAGCTAGTTTTCAGAATGCTGATAGATCCATGCCCACTAATGCTGGGAAGGAAAGCACTACCAGATCCATTCTTTTCCAAATAGCAAATTGTTTATCCACTGAAATTCTCTAAGGAATGATTTGAGCCTATTAAGAGTTTCCTTCTTTTGAGGGGTTCTAGAGTTTGAAGTCTAGAGAACTTAATGTGAACTGTATATAGTGAAGGAATCAAAAGTCTGACTGTGGTCACACTCTTCTTTGGCCCGCAATCTGTCACAGGGTGGCCCTGATTCCTTGAAGAACTGCATACGAATGAGCCCCATCTAAAGCACACACTTGGAGGTGCTTCGTGCAGAAGGGCCAGCCTGGAGACCACAGCAATCTCCTTGACTACCATGACGTGACTTAGAAATGCCCAAGAATCATAAGGCTCAGACTCAAAGGGTTATCATTCTATGAATTTAAGAAAGGTAATCCCAGGTTCTGTTCACCTAGAACAGTGGTCGGCAAACTGTGGCTCGCGAGCCACATGTGGCTCTTTGGCCCCTTGAGTGTGACTCTTCCACAAAATACCGACTTCTGCACATGGGCCATGAAGTTTCAATCGCACCGTACGTGCGTGCCCGCATGTGGTATTTTGTGGAAGAGCCACACTCAAGGGGCTCACGAGCCATATTTTTCCAACCACAGACCTAGAACAAGGCAAACCCAGAACACGACAGACTTTCATATCCTGGGGGAATTAGCGTACAAACAAACAAAAAATGGGTTCCCTCATAACTACATGTGGCCTCATCAGCCCCGGCAAAGGGACACCCACACTGGCCAGCATCTATACTAATAAAAGGGTAATATGCTAATTAGACCAGATAGACGGGACATCTTCCAGACGTCCTTCTGGACATCCTTCTGGACAAAGCGACAGTGCTGCGAGGGCTGAGAGCTGGCAGCGCGGGAGTGGGAGAGGCCGCGGCATGGGCCTGTCCAGCGTCGAGGCCCCTTCTGCAGAGGCAGCGCAGCAGAGGGGGATGCACGGTCCCGGTCCCACTGCTGCCTTCTGCAGAGGCAGTGGCGCAGTCCCGTCCTGGTTCCAGGCCTCCACAGAGGCTGGATGGGGTGCGTCCTGCTGTGCCTCAACCTCCCACAGCCCCTCCCCCAGCTGGCCTGGCCCCAGATCGCCTCCCACCCACCAGTGGCCAGGGCCAGCGCTAAGAAGTGAGGGCTGAGGGCCAGCAGTCGCAGTGGCAGGCTGGGCTGAGGGAACCCCCATCCCCAGTGCACGAATTTTTGTGCACCGGGCCTCTAGTTTTCTATAAAATCTCATTATGACAAATCAGGCAGTGCAAAGACCCAAGTCTTTATAGAAGGACAATGAGGACCTTTTTGTACACCTATGGGTTCTCTGTGGCAAAACTGCCCCCTTGGAGTGCTGTGTCATCGACAAATGCCGGTATCTTCCTGCTTGGCTCTGGTTTGCCCAACCCTCAAAGCACTCAGGCCCCTGAGCCTCTGGCTAAGGGGGTGGGGCAGGGCTGTGATCTGCACACTCAGGCTGCCCGGACCTGGAGTGGGGGCCTCTGGGTGCTCAGAAAAGGAAGTCCAGAGAGCTCAGGTCAGCTGCCACATGGTTCCGGTTTCTGGTCCCAGTGCAGCAGGTCCCCCCAAGGCAAATAGCCATGACCAGTCACCGTGCTCACGGCCCCCTGCCGCCTGCCTGTGTGCCCTGCTCCTGAAGGCTGCAGCAGTGGCAGGGTTAAAACCGGAAGGACTGGTTCTCTGGTTCAGCTTCCTGGCCTAGAGCCTCCAGCCTCCATTTTCTTTCAGCTTCAAATGAGGCTTCAAGTGGAATTACGCAAAAAGGCGTAGAGGGTGTAGGGAGCCGGGACCCGTTATGCCACAGCCTCCCTGACCGTCAAGAGCACAGTCCCAGGTCAGTGGGTAGAAGCACAGAGGTGGAAAGGGCTGCTCCAGAAAGGAGCTGGCCTTGGATTGCCGTAGCACATGCAGGCCAAAGGAAGTCCCCAAGAATGTTTAATCCGGCCCCCAAAGTTTTAGAGGACAGAAGAGCCCCAGAGAAGGAAAGTGGGTCCTGGGAACGCACAGCTAGCGGCAGCAGGGCCAGTTTCAGGCCTGGGGTCTCCGACTCCCAGTCCAGTACACTCACCACCCAGACTGCCTTTCCACAGGCAGCAGCATCAAAGGCACCCGAGGAGGGACAGACAGACACCTGCTGGCTTGAGAGAGGTGGCCTGACCTGACAAAGTGGGAGGCCAGACAGGTCCCAGCACCCCTCTGTGCCTCCTGCCCTAATGGG